AAGTAAAGAATGAGTCTCTTTCCAGCTATCTATGTTGTAATTGTGAAATGTTGTCTAAATGGAGCCATCCTATATAATAAAGAGCTAATATGCAAATGGTCATCACGCCCTCATGCCGTAATGGCTCAGACATTCAACACAGGGGAGAGAGAAATGGGGACCAGCCAGGCTGCGGCCCAGGAGAGGGACAAGCTGCCCGCCCCACAGTCCTGGGCACCAGTGGCTACGCCTGCAGCCTGGGAGAGGGACAAACCGCACACCCCACAGTCCCAGGCACCAGCGACTGTGTCTGCATCTGCAGCCTGGGAGAGGGACAAGCCGCCCATCCCGCGGTCCCGGGCACCTGCAGCTGCGGCCCGTGGCTGTGCCTGCGGCTGCAGCCCAGACAAAGCCACCCGCCCACAGTCCCCTGTGACTGCAGCCAGCCAGGGCGAAGCCAGCCCGGGTCCTGGGTGCCTTCGGCCGGCCAGAGGGAGAGAAGTCCAGATCCCGGGTGCCTGCAACCGGCCGGAGGAGGGAATCCTGGGTCTTGGGTGTGGGGCGAGGCAGAGGCAGTTAGGGGCGATCAGGCCAGCAGGGGAGCAGTTAGGGGCCATCAGGCAGGCAGGCAGGCAGGCAGGCAGGCAGAGGTGGTTAGGAGCAATCAGGTAGGCAGGCAGAGGTGGTTAGGGTCGATCAGGCAAGCAGGCAGGCGAGCGGTTAGGAGCCAGCAGTCCCGGATTGCAAGAGGCAGTCGGACATCCCCCGAGGGGTCCCTGATTGGACAGGGTGCAGGCGGGGCTGAGGGACCCCCACCCCCCATACACGAACTTCATGCACCAGGTCTCTAGTTTTAAAATGAAACCAGAGCAGCCATTCCAAAGGAACTACATTTCACATTTTACTCCTTAAAACTTTAGAATGCTTGAACTGGGCCAGATCTTTCGACTGGCCAAACCAGTATTGTCTTTCAAATAACTGTTTGCAAAGCTAACAAGAAAGCAGACATTTTGACCACAAGGACTAATTATTATAGACTCTGTCAATGTAAGAATGTCCAAACCTGTAGGGAATTTTTATAAAAGTATGAGTGAAACTGATGACATATATTAGGGAGCAAGATCTCAAATACTTCAAAGAATAACAGTTTTGCACCTTCTTTTAAGCATTAAAATTAAGAAGGAAACATAAGATTACATGGAGCTGGGAGGACTGGAATACAAGATAATTAACATGATCGTATGCTCTCTTGAGGGTGTTTACAGCTTATTTCAAAGGTGTATTAACCTAGATGTACAGAAACAATAGACAGGGCTTACTTAGGCAACGATACACTTTTTACTAAAGAGATTATATGCCTGGAAAATGACTACCAACCAGGACCTGCTCAACTAAGAACTTATGATCAGATCAGCCTTTGAGGTTACTTTGCATAGAAGACCTTTTTTGTTGTCCAAAACTTTCTTCCTGAAGACAGAATTAGTAACCATCTATGTGTAGTGTAGGGGAAGAAGAAACTTTCCTCTACCTTCCTAGGTTCTTAACGTGGGTCTAATAATTAAATTAACATGAGTCAGATTAACAAGAGAAAATCATCAAATTTAATAAATATGTACACGTGCGTATCACACATACATGAAAGAGTCAGAGAACCCACATACATGAGAGACTCAAGGAAAGTTATGTCGATGTAAGAACATCCAAACCTGTAGAGAATTTTTATGAATTTATTTAAGTCAAACTGATGACATTCTGGGAAGCAAACTCTCAAATGCTCCAGAGAATAACAGTTTTGGAGTTCTTTTTATAAATTTCAAATCAAGGAGGAAACTTACGGAAGATTACATGAAAGTGGGACAGGATATTAACAAAATTATGTGCTCTCTTGATGGTGGTTACCCCTTAGAGAGGGGTCTGGGAAAGATTACTTTTAACATTTCAATGATGCACATTGTTCTAGATGCACAAGAACAATGGACAGAACTTGCTTAAGGCAAAGATAAACTTTTTTTTTAAATATATTTTATTGATTTTTTACAGAGGAAGGGAGAGGGATAGAGAGTTAGAAACATCGATGAGAGAGAAACACCAATCAGCTGCCTCCTGCACACCCCCTACTGGGGATGTGCCCGCAACCAAGGTACATGGCCTTGACCGGAATTGAACCTGGGACCCTTGAGTCCGCAGGCCGACGCTCTATCCACTGAGCCAAACCGGTTAGGGCAAAGATAAACCTTTTATATAGACTAGGACAGTGGTCAGCAAACCGCGGCTCTCGAGCCACATGCGGCTCTTTGGCCCCTTGAGTGTGGCTCTTCCACAAAATACCATGTGCGGGTGCGCATGTACAGTGCAATTGAAACTTCGTGGCCCATGCACAGAAGTCGGTTTTTAGTCTGGGCGAGTCTATTTTGAAGAAGTGGCATTAGAAGAAGTAGGGGGTGGACATACAGAGAGGATGAACGAAAGAAGATAGACGAAACAAGTATATAAGACGAGTGTAGATGGGAGAGTTGGAAGGGGTCGACCTCAGCAAACGTACCTCAATCAGATTGAGGAGGTTTTTAGCAAAGGCCAGCTTAGGAGTACCCTAATTAAGTTAATAACAATGTACCTACCTATATAGTTTAAGTTTAAAAAATTTGGCTCTCAAAAGAAATTTCAATCATTGTACTGTTGGAGCCCCATGCGGCTCTTTGGCCCCTTGAGTGTGGCTCTTCCTAAGCTTTAGGAGTACCCTAATTAAGTTAATAACAATGTACCTACCTATATAGTTTAAGTTTAAAAAATTTGGCTCTCAAAAGAAATTTCAATCGTCATACTATTGATATTTGGCTCTGTTGACTAATGAGTTTGCCGACCACTGGACTAGAAGCATGACTACCCGCTATGGCCTGCCTAGTTAGAAATTTATGATCAGGTCACCCTATGAGCTTACTTTCTGTCACTGAACGTGTCAGATTTATTACACAGCCCTTTTGTTGTTCACAGTTAAAGTGAGGTATATAAGGCAATTCTGAGGTAAAGGTTAGGTAGCTTCGGGCTTCAAAAGGTCATCCTATATAATAAAAGCATAGTAGGCAAATTGTCGCCCTGACCAGGAGTTCAACCAGGGGGCAGGGCCAGCCAGGAGAAGGGAGGGAGTACCTGGCCGGCAGCCAGGAGCCGCTAGGGACCCTACCAGTGTACAAATTTCATGCACTGGGCCTCCAGTTGCAGGCTAATAAGAGATGTTCAGTAATTAATAGTTTGTCCTGCCATGTATATTGGTTTAAAAACAAAAAGTTATTTCTGGTGATAGCTTATTATGGGCAAGACCTCTAATTTAAATTTTTAAAGAGAGAGAAAAAGTTTCTCATAAGCCTGCAGGATCTTAATTGCCTTCAGCTCAAAGTAATTTAAATGCTAAAGTGGTACATTTTGGGGAAACGTGTTCTGAACCCCTAAAATAGCTAAAGAGTAATTTAGCTTATCAGCTTGTTAGCACCGATAGAAACACCTTTTTTGTATTCATGAAATTATCCCATTCTTTTCTCATAAAATCCTCTTGCTCTCACCCTATAATCAGGACATTATGTTGGTTTCTGCTTGAATCTGTGCTTCCCCCAATTGTAATTCTTTGATCCCAAATAAACCCTTATTGAATCTCATTTTCTTTTTTAAGTTGTAGATTAACATAATCTTAACTTTTTCCAAAATATTGTTTCTTAAATTAGCCTCAGATAATTTACTTGTGCAAAAATAAATCCTATCTAATAAAGAGGGAATATGCTAATGGACCCTCATGCCATCACAAAGATGGCGGCGCCCACAGCCAATAAGAAGGGAATATGCTAATTGACTGCCCCACCCTCAAAGATGGCGGCACCCACAGCCACAAGATGGCGGCGCCCAGTCCCCTCAGCCTCACTGGGGCGGCAGGCGCGCAGCAAGGCCAGGCCCACCCCCAAGGCGGGCCCGGCCACTCCATGCTCCTGCCTCCGGAGTCCCCCAGTCCCCTCAGCCCCCCAGCTGCCCAGGGCCGGCCCAAGGAGCAGGCAAGCCAGCCGCCCAAGGTCACCCGAGGCTCAGGTAACCAGGGCTGGCTGAGGCTTGCACTGCCAGCAGTGGCAGCAGCAGATGTGTGATAGGGCATCGCCTTCCCCTGATCACTGGGTCGCCTCCCACCCCTGAGAGCTCCCGGACTGTGAGACGGGGCAGGTCGGGCTGAGGGACCCCCCTCCTCCAGTGCATGAATTTTCATGCACCAGGCCTCTAGTCTATAATAAAAGGGTAATACACTAATCAGACCGGACAGCTGAACGACCTTCCGGGTGTCATTTGGGACGTCCTTACAAACTAAGCCGTGGGGGCAGAGGCGGTTAGGGGCAATCAGGCAGGCAGGCAGAGAGGTTAGGGGCGATCAGGCAGGCAGGCAGACAGGCAGATGAGCGGTTAGGAGCCAATGGTTCCAGATTACGAGAGGGATGTCCGACTGCCGGTGGGATCAGGCCTAAACCGGCAACCAGACATCCTCCAAGGGGTCCCAGATTGTGAGAGAGTGCAGGCTGGGCTGAGGGACCCCACCTCCCTGCCCCCCCATGCACGAATTTTGTGCACCAGGTCTCTATTAACAAAATAATAGCCAAAGCACATTTATCTAGAAGTTACAAAGAAAAACAAAATTTTAGAGCCTTTTAACCATTATAAACAGCATCAGAGAGGAGGGTCAGTATGCCCAACAAAGAATAGTTTATGTATGATAAGACAATCATGGAATATCCAAGCATGGCCAATAAGAATGATATCTTGGGACAAATAACTCCAGAATAGTCTATTAATTTCATCCCATAAATTATCACTGTTTGTTTTTTTGTAAAATATGGTTTTATTGATTTCAGAGAGGAAGGAAGGGGGAGAGAGGGATAGAAACATCAATGATGAGAATCACCGACCAGCTGCCTCTTGCATGCCCACCACTGGGGATTAAGCTTGCAACCCAGGCATGTGCCCCTGACCAGAATCACACCCGGGACCCTTCAGTCCGCAGGCCAACTCTATCCGCTGAGCCAAACCAGCTAGGGCTTATCACTGGTTTTTAAAAAGTGTTACTAATGGGGGAGATTTACAGCATAACCCTCTGTGTAAACATAATGCTTATTAGCATATATTTTAATTCAAAATAAAACTTTATAAGATTCTCACTTCATCAAGTAGAAATACAAGTAATGATTTCTGATGTCTTAAAAATTATTAAAAATCTGCATAATTAAAAAAATTGGATGCCTGAACCAAATTATTAAATCATTCAAAATTATTCATTGAGCACCTTGCCAGGAGGACTTCTGTTAGAGTTGGGGATCCTGTACAACAGAGGTAGATAGATCTAACACCCTGAGCAAACCACTGAAGTCAAGATTCTGAGTGAGCAAGATCAGTTAAGGATTGCCACTTTACAAAATATTGTTTTGAGAAGGCTTGTTTTTGTCGAGAGTCTAGATTCTCTACATTATAATAAAATCCAGCATGCCAAGATTTATAATTCTTGGTTTATGTGCTTCCTTCTTAAGTAGAATAAAAGCTCCTTGAATAAAGTGATTGCCCTGTAGACCACTATATATTCATGACTATTGGAAGGTGCTTGTATCCAGGCAGGTGCGAAGTGACTTTTGGGTAAACATTCATTTGGGTATATATCAATGCAAGTCAGAGGAGATTTTTCTTTATGTTTCCAGGTTCCTGTGGTCTCTGTGATGGCTACTGGTTCTTCCCTAAGGATAATGGAGTAGTAGTTTATACTGTTACACAGGGCAGTCAGGAGATTCTGAAAATCAAATAAAGCCACCAATGAGATGTCAGATATGAATGAGGTGGGGTGTGGCTTAGATAGAAGAAGAGATTATTCAGGAATATTTAAATTTGGCAAGAAAAGGACAGAGTGACAGAAAAGAGCAGGGACATAAGAACATCAGGTAGGGATAGGAAAGCTAATTAGTTTTATCCTTTTATTGTATGAATGAAAATAAAATGTCCCCAGAGGTAAATTGACTTTCCAATGCCACATAAGACTTATTTATTCTACAGAGGCTGAATTAGAGAAAGATGAACAGAATGAAGGATGATAATGAGGGGAGATGCTGAAAGCCAAAGAAGAGAGTCAGAACTGAAGGGGAAATGAGAAGCTGAATTGGTGTCTAGGGTTTAGGGAAGGAGCACTGTTTTTTTTGTGTGTGTGGTTTTTTTGTTGTTGTTTTTTGGTGGTTTATTGGTAGAAGAAGGAAGTCAGAATAGAGGTATTGTGGGGTAGGTTTATTTAAAACACAAATTGAAGACAAACTTTCTGAGAGAAAGAAATAACATCTGTAACTGAAATGCTGTTTCTGCAGATTACATTGCTAGCAGTTCTCCTCGCAGCTGGTGACAATGAAGATGGTAAGAACTCTAGCAACTGCCCAGTTCAGGGTTGGGGGTGAGGGGAACGTGGTGGTGTGTGTGTGTGTGTGTGTGTGTGTGTGTGTGTGTGTGTGCGCGCACATTGCCCTCACGGCATACCTGGAGAGTGAGAATGTCAGCACAGTTCCATTCTAAATATACCATACTCTAGGACCCTGTGCTCTTCTGAAGGTTGTACGTAAAGCATGGGGCCTTGGGCAGGTGAATGTTTGCTGAGGTAACAATGGCTTCCCTTATCCAGACTCTGAGTTTTCCCTTTCTGACACCTTGCTTCATTTTTTCTCCACATTCTGTCTGTTCTTTTGACACAGCCTTCCAGGAGCAGATCTCCTTCCACATGATCCATATCTCATCCTTCTACAATCATTCCTGGACACAAAATTGGGGCTCTGGTTGGTTGGGTGAGTTGCAGATTCTTGGCTGGAACAGTAACTCTGGCAGTGTTATTTTCCTGCGGCCTTGGTCCAAGGGCAACTTCAGCAACAAGGAAATAACAGAAATGGAAAAGTTCTTCCGAAGGTTACACATCGAATTGCCGCCTTTAATTCGCAAACATGCCAGTGAATGGAAGTTTGAGTGTAAGTTCAATTCCCAAAATGGGGAGGTGCAATGTGGGTGGGATGTGCGTGTCTCAGTGAGTTTCCCATTCCGATTTTTCCCTGCATTCAATTACTTCAGCAATCTCTGTCTGTACATTCATTGTAACCTACAGTATTACATTCACCCTACATCAGCGATCACCAAGCTTTCGGACCTCATAGACAACCAGTGGTCCATGGACCATCAGTTGGCGACTGCTGCTCCAAAGGTTCCCCTAAACCAGTGGTCGCCAATCTTTTGGACCTCACGGACCACCAGTGGTCCACAGACCACTGGTTGGCAACCGCTGCCCTAGATATAATCATAACTCTCTCACACCAAAGCCTTCATTGTTCTCTTGCTCTCATCATTTGTCACCTTTTTTCAATTTGCTCCCTGCCATTTCCAAATAATATGTCGTTCTTTTTTTTTTCCCACCTTCAACTACCACGTTATGCTTTTTCTGAACTTCCGATCAAACTAAACTTTGTTCCATTACCTCTAATACCCCAAAATTCTCTCTTCTACTTCCTTTTTTCGCTTCCACTAATTTCATCTTTACTCCCTCTTTCCTCTAATTTACAATCCATCTTCCCTAGATCCCTTTGAGGTACAGATAACAGGAGGCTGTGAGCTGCACCCTGGAGAAGGCAAGGTAGTCTTCCTACAATTTGCTTACCAAGGATCAGAGCTCCTGACCTTCCAGAACAATGCATGGCTGCCATCTTCAAAGGGTGACAACAGAGCTCAGGAGATGTGTAGACTATTCAATCAGCGCCGTGTCGTCAACATAATAATACAGAGGCTGCTCTGGGACACCTGCCCACGTTTCCTTTTGGGCCTCTTTGATGCAGGGAAGGCAGATCTCCAGAGAAAAGGTCAGTCTCACATCATTTCCTCCAAGCATTTTCTATTCTAAAATTTACCTTCCTACCTCCCCTTTACATTGAGGAGGTTCATATCTTCACATAAGTTTACACAGACACATCTATCAATTCCCAGCATGTGATAGATGTGTCCATCTAAATTGATGTGAAGATATGAACCTCCAAGTCTGTGTTAGAGTCCTTATCTGAGTATCTCTCCTGTTCTCTGCAGTAAAACCAGAGGCCTGGCTGTCCACTGGCTCTAATCCTGGTCCTGACCGTCAGATGCTGGTTTGCCATGTCTCTGGCTTCCATCCAAAGCCAATTTGGGTAAAGTGGATGCGAGGTGAACAGGTACAACTGGGCACTCAACAAAGTGGTATCTTGCCCAATGCTGATGGGACATGGTACCTTCAGGTTTTCTTGGAGGTGGAAGCCACTGAGAAATCTGGCCTGTATTGCTGGGTGAGACATAGCAGCCTAGGAAGCCAGGACATCATCCTCTACTTGGGTAAGAAAAAACTGGGGCCCACACTAGGAATAGGAATGGATAACGGTCTACAAGCAGAGCAGGAGAGCCAAATAAAATTTGGGATTTATGGCCTCCAAACCCAAAAGAATGAAAATAATTCAATAAATAGAAGAGTTAAAAATGAGAGACCTGCAGATGTAGGAAGATGTTGAGGTGAAAGATTCATTTCTGAAGAGGGATGAGAGAAGAAAGAGGAAAATAGGAGATTAATGAGAACATTCCAAAAAAAATGGCAGACGAGGAAAATGCAGTAAATAGGGGGTGGTTTTGAAATGACACATTGTGTGCACCCAAACCCACAGAACATCATCAAGGCTCCGTGGGCTGGATCATCTTGGCAGTGATGGTGCCCCTGGTGGTTTTGACATGTCTTGCATTTTGGCTTAGGAAGCGCTGGTGAGTTTTTTGTGCCCATCTTTTCTGTTCTTTGATCCACTCCCTACTTATCTTCCTCCCTCCTTGCCTCCCTCTCCCCACCCCTTCTCTCTTCTTAGTTCTTCTTTCCCCAGTCCCCTTCCTTTACTCTTCAATTCTCACCTCCACCTCATGCAGAGTAACTTTCATCTCTGTTCTTATTAGGTCACACTGTGAGCCTCCTCCCACTCTTCTTCCTTTGGAATGAGATTCCAGCAGCCCAAGGACTCAGGACATATTTGAATGCACATGGTGATAATATGCTTTCAACTCTCCTGGTACAGCTGTTATTGTTTATTTATGTTTGTTTAATGATCCATTATTAAGATAAGGTAAAGGTAATTTTGTAGGACTTGCTTTCTGACCTGGCTCAGAGATAAAAAGTCTTATTTTAACTCTGGATAAAATGAGATCCTAGCAACCTCTACTTATTGAAACATTAATGAATCTCAGGCCCATTTCAGATGTCACGTCTTTATGGGGGCCTTCCCTGATTCACAAGTGGAAGCAGTGTCTGAACTCCCACCACGCTTTTCAGCGTACTTTGCTGAATTTACTTCTCACTTTTTATCCTTTGTTGCAGTTTATGTAGGCGCTTTTTCCTCTTCGGATTTTTAAGCTTCTTAAGAACAAAGTCTATGTCTTTTTTAAAGTTTGTATCATTTACAAAGTGTATTAACTGAATGTAGTATGTTTTCAATAAAAGTCTGTGTTAAATTTACGCCAAATATATAGTCTTTTCTTATTCTTTATCTTCCTGACATGTTTGTTGTAATTGAGACATTTTATGCTCTTTTTGTTTAGTCTTCACCCTGTACTAGTTCCTTAGTAACTTACTTCTCTGAGTTCTGAGGAGAAGCACAATTTTGCCTCTGACCATTCTTTTTTTATTTTTTTGTTAATCCTCACCGGAGGATATTTTTTCCATTGATTTTTAGAGAGAGAGGAGGGTAGAGACAGAGAGAGAAACATTGATGTGAGAGACACATCAATTGGTTACCTATTGCATGCGCCCCAACCTGGGCTGGGGTTTGAATCTGCAACTGAGGTACATGCCCTTGACCAAAATCAAACCTGAAACCCTTCAGTTCACAGGTTGATACTCCAGTCACTGAGCTAAACGGGCTAGGGCACCTCTGACCATTCTTAAAATTTAACTGTAGAGACCTACTGGTGTGAAAGTTTTGCTCCAAGTATTTTAAACAAAAAGAGGAAGGAAGGATATAGTCCTTGCTATTTAGTGTGGTTCAGGGACAAACAGCTGAGTTATCACCTTGGAATTTGTTAGAAACCTATGTTCTTGGACCTCACACCTTAGACTTACTGAATCATAATTGCATTTTAGCAAAATCAAAAGGGATTCATAGGTACATTAAAATTTGAAAAGCACTGATATTGGTGTAGTCTGAGAGGTAGCAGTATAAGCATGTCACAGAAGCAAAAAGAAAATGGTCAAGAAAAGAGAACAGCGTGTTGACAGGACTGAAGTGAGACCAAAGCAAGGAGAGTACATACAGTACATTCTTGCTATTTATGGTGGTTGTGTTAAGGACACTGTGATCACTGAGTTAATGAATGCCGAGCCACTGCTCCTAGGGAAATACCCGAGGAACACTGATGTGAGGGTAACATTTGTTACAGGGTTATACTCCTGTAAATTTCTGGTTAAAACATTTGATCAACTAAATACACACACAGCTCTGTTTTATATGTGTTTCTGTTTAAAGACACCTTTTTTACCATAGATATAATTTCAAATAATTTATTTATTGCATGTAGTATTTTTTAATGTTTTTATTGATTTGAGAGAGAGGAAAGGAGAGGAAGAGAGAGAAAGAAACATCAATGTGAGAGAGAAACAGCAATCTGCCACCTCCTGCAAGCACCCCAACTGGGGATCGAGCCCACAAGGAATAGAGCTGTGACTTTCTGGTGCCTGGCATGGCGCTCAATCCACTGAACCACAGAACACCAGCCAAGTGTGTTTCACCTTTTCCTGACCCTGGGCAACATAATTGTAAGTGTTTTTTACTTTTAGCCATACAGCTGGGCTATTATGCTTTAAAAAAACAAAAATAGTCATTTTACCATGAATTCACAAATCCAGTTCCTTCTGCATCTATTCCATAGCTTAATCATAGCATTATAAATGTTACTTCAGCACGTTGTGAGCAGCTCCACATACAGATCAGCAAATTCCTTTGCTTTTTTCCAGGCCTACTGACTGTATTGTAGATTTATTAACACTGATCTCATGGCCCACAACACTGTAACTCATGCCGGAACAAAGCATATCTACCTATACATTTCCTCTTTAAGACATATTACAGTCTATTTGTGCTTAGGAATACTAGAAAGCTCATCTGCACTGTTTCAGGGATATTTTAAACATCTAAATTACCAACACAAAGCAAAAAAAAAATGTGGAAAATGTGGCACTAAATAGACCATGAAAGGGACACCTGTTTATAGTGTGAGAACTAAAATAAGAAGGCAGAGTGTCACTTTGTTCAACTTCAGCACAAATTGCAGTATAAGTTGATATATCCTTGACTAGACTTCAATTACTTCATTAATTAATTCGAAAAATAATTCTTAAGCACTTTCTATGCAGCAGGGACATATTGAGTATAAAGTAGTGGGGGAGAGAAAGATCATCACTGCCTTCTGAGCTTGAAAATTTTGTCTTCCTAATTTGATTCCACAAGTTTACCCTTTTCATTGTTAGATTTTAGTTTCTTAGTACAGCAACTTATAGGATTAAACTAGGGAAAAGGGACTGAGTTCTAGTTTGTTTAGAGAGCTGAGATGGGGGGGACTGGCAAAGAGAACATCCTTGTGAACCTAGTGCACCTGCACATGTCAAAATTTCTGCAAAATACAGTTGAGATGGGAGAGGGAGGAAAAGGTCAAAATAATGGGACGAGGGAGAGTAAACAGTGGAACCGCCGCACTCTTCCTAACTGAATTAGGCTGGTTGGTTGCTTCTCTAGGTGCCAATCTACCTTGTCACCATGCAGAGCAGCCATGTGGTTTATGGTTGGTTGATTCCACTCTCATCTGTACTTTAAACCTCATCAGCCTAAGGCAAATATGAGAAAGCATCCCTGACAATGTAATAGGCTAAAGGACGGACTGGTAACCTATAATTTAAGCCAAATAATCATTTAGACCTCACTTATCCTAGAGCTCAGAGTGATGGTTCAGGGCTAGGTATCTCTCTAAGGTGATACAGTTCATATGAAGTCTGATTCTTAAGTGTGATGGTAAGGAAAAGAGATGCTCTTTCTTGTCCTGGATGTTATGGTGTGAGGTATAAAGCTTGAAACAACTGAAGCTAGCCCAGCCTGTGTGGCTCTGTGGTTGAGCATTGACCTAGGAACCAGGAGGTCAAGGTTTGATTCCCAGTCAGGACACATGCCTGGGTTGCGGGTTCAATCCCCAGTAGGGGGCATGCAGGAGACAGCTGATCAATGATGCTCTCTTATCATTAATGTTTCTATCTCTCTCCCTTCCTCTCTGAAATCAATAAAAATATATTTTAAAAAAAGAAACAATTAAAGCTACTTTTTCAATACCAGAGAAGCAAGCTGTGGATAAAATTATATATGCAAGAAGGCAGAGAAATTTGAAATTTATTAAGAGGGTAGATCTTAAGTATTCTCCACACTAAAAAAGAATAAAACAAGTAACCATGTGAGTTAATGGACAGGTTAACTTGTCATGATCATTTCACAACATACACATAACTCAAAACACTGAGTTGTAGACTTGAAATATATAAAATTGTCATTTGTTGCCCTGGCTGGTTTTTCTCAGTGGTTAGAGCATTGGCCAGCAGACCAAAGGATTGAGGGTTCAATTCCCAGTCAAGGGCATGTACCTCGGTTGCAGGCTCGACCCCTGGTTTGGTCAGGGCACGTGCAGGAGGCAACCAATAGAAGTCTCTCTCTCACATTGATGTTTCTCTCTCTCTCCTCCCCACTCTCTCCCTTCCACAAATCGTTGCATCATAACGTTTATAAATATTTATGTTTATGCCTTATAATTATTTAATTGAATTCTTTATTATTTTTATTGTTTCTGATATTTTTAACAATTCTTTTCTTATTCACTCATGAAAGGAAGTTTAACTGATCAAGTCCATAGTAAACTGCAAGTTTATAGGAAATTTCTCATTTCTAGAAAAGAAGATTAAAAGAAAACTTGTGACATGTTTTAGTATGCACAATTTCAATAAGGAACAATGGGAGGGAAATTTCTTCTTATAACAGACCTGGCCACACCTACACACAAACTATGTTTCATCACAGGCAGGAGTAAGGGATTCGGAGAAATTTTAGCAAGATTAAAGGAAAAATTAATCCATATCATGTGTCATAAAAATTAGTATTAGTCACTCTCACTATTGAAGTTCATTTTCTGTGTAACTTTAATTTGGGGTTAGAAACATTTATTGGTGAAGCTAAAAATTGGTGTGGTCTATAAGTTTCCGAAATGGTTTATTTATGCTTAAATTCAATTTTTTGTGGTGATCTGTACATTCAGTACCTCAGTATCTAAAGGGGGATGCAGACATGGACTATGACCAAAGTACGCATCTGCATTCAGACATTACTGCTTTTTGCTTTTGTTAAATTTTAAATAATCTGAGATTTTAAAACAATGGTCACTAAAGATTAATTTTTGCAATCTTACTACCATGCATTGTTTTTACATAGGTGAGCACAAATTCCTTTTGTCTGGTTCATAAGGAATTCTAAAGTGACACATATAGGGAGGGGATTTTATAGCTTTAAAAGCATTTATTTGTAAATAAGACAGACTAAAAACATATGAACTAAGACTTTAACTGAGGAAGCTAAAAAAATAAAATATTAAAAAATTAGAAGATAGAAAATTAATTTTAAAGCACTAAAAGTTAAAATAAAAAGCAAAACAAAAAGTCGATAAAGGTGGGTCAAGATGGTGAAGTAGCTGTACTCACCTCCTCCCATAACCACTCAAAGTTACAACCTACATTTACAGAACCATCATTGAGTACTGCCTGAAGTCTAGTTGAACAGAAGTCCTATAACTAAAAATATACAGAAGAAACCAAGTCAAGACTAGTTAAGAGAGGTAAAGACGAAGAATGGGCTGGTCTCACCCACAAGAAGCAGTTAAAAATCAGGATAGCCCTAGCTGGTTTGGCTCAGTGGATAAAAGCGTCGGCCTGCAGACTGAAGGGTCTTGGGTTCGACTCCGGTCAAGGGCACATATGCTGGCC